GAGAGTGTCCATCCGTATTTTTTTGGGCCAAGTCCATTCCCTTTATACTTTATAAGAAAAAAACAGTTTTTTTCTTTTATATGGACAAATCAATTGATTTTTTTCTCAATAAAAAATGAAAATAGTTATTCCATCCTGAATATATTACAAAATATTTAGACTAGCAATTTGATTTCTCAACCAAAAAGGGAATAATAATTATAAATATATATGAGGTGCTCAAAATCAAAAGTAAATGTAAACATTTATATAAATTAGTTAATTAATTAATTTTACAAGTTCAGCTGTTATCAAATACATAAGGCCTGGGCCTAGATACTACCCTATGATGATTTTGCTCATACAAAATACATCAATTGTTTCATTTTTATTCTTTCAATAAATAAATAAGGATCATAGATGAAATCACACACTTAAAAATTACATAATACCATTCTTTTGTTCCTTTTAAGTTATAATAATGCCATTTTTTGGGGCTGCTAAGCATTTATATCCTGTGGAAGGTTTGATTCAGAATCAGAGCTTTGGCAAGTAGGGTTGCAAGGATAAGGGCAGTCTATCTTCCGCACCACACCCCTCTCATGAAACCAGTCCCCAACAGCGCTTGCAATTTTCTGCATAACATGTTAATTTTCATTCAGAAGGGATGCATATCCATGTGACACAGGAGGAGAAAAACAAAAAGGAGAGTGGGGGAAAAGTGGAGGAAACTTACTGTTTTAGCAACTAGTGTAGAACTGTCACTTGACCATGTCACTTGCCTCCCTGATTGACAGTGAGCATAACAAGAGTCTATCCACATGCCTCTTGCTGGAGAGCTCCCAGCTGCTTTGGTAATTGTACTGACAAATAGTGTCCTGTAATCTGAGAATAATGTCCGAGATTAATTAGAAAGTTTTTTTAATTTGTATGGTGATGTTACAGCTGAGCAGTTGAGAATTATAACTAAGCAGGTTGGTTACCTTGAATTATCTTGAGCTGAGGAGCTGAGCATTTTTTGAAATCAAGCTTGCAGTTTTTCCATTCCTTTTTAGAATCAGCAGCACTTGGTGCCAAGATGTTCTTAATCTGATGAAGAAATTTAATGCAAGGGTTAAAAATAACCATTTAAGTAATTCTTCTTCCTTTGTTGGTATTTTCTATCCTCTACTTGAGAGGAGGAAATGAGCTTACCTGCCAGGAGTCATAACCTGAATTTATGAAAAAGATTGGGGTTTGCATGAATGGTACTACATTCTGAGGGAAGAAACACTGCAATATTGATAATAAGAATTATTAGGAAGAGAGAAAGAAGAGCTACAGAAGAATGGGAAAAAAAGAAAACATTCTGAATAATCCCACTTACCAATTCTGGTCTCATTCTTGAAGTGCAGGATGCTGGCAAATTCTTTGCTGATCCCTGCACCGTTCAAAAAAAAATAAAAAATCAGAATCACCATTTTTTCAAGCTCATTTTCATATTGTGCTCGAGCACAAAAAGGTAGGAAAGAAGATGGGGCTGGGAGAGTATGTACATGAGTTGCAACAACTTGACTATAAAAGGTTCCAATATGTGAGCCTCCAGAAACATCCTTTCTGTTAAAAGATAAAAGTATGCAAGGTGTTAAACTAAATGAAATGCAATAATTAATTTAAGCTCAAGGAAGTTGTTTATTTCGAGCATGCTCACGCATTGAGAAAAAATCCAGCATCTGCAATGCATTTAACTTTTGTAGTTGCAGGGAAGAGAGATCGAAATCTGTCGCAATTCAGAATGGAAGCCAATCCACCAGCAGAACAGCCAGAGAGAATAGCCTGTCATTACAACTTCAATCAGATTAAACAGAAGCATGGAATATAGATTAGCAAAATGATGATGTATCATCAAATAGGGTAATACATTTTGAGCATTCCTCATCCCTTTTGCCATTAGATCATCCATGATTGCCTGCCATACTCTTGCACCTCTGAAGTAAAGTTTGTTAGCCTGAAAAGATTACAATCACATTAACAACTATATAATAAACCAGGGAAATTAATTCCAGAGAAACTCATTAAAGTACTCACTGGATCAAATGCATCACCGGTAAAAGATGATCCATCACAGTACCTGACCTTAATTCTATTCCAATTGAAGAAGTCTATAAATTAAAAGCAAAGGAAATCAATCAGTTAAGGTTAACATGTATGCGAAAGCCGGATATGAACCGTGGAGTTTAGTGCTGTGTGGATACCTGGATTAGAACTTTGCTTGCTGCCAAGAATACCAGAGAAACCGAATGACTTGTCCATTTTCTTTGACGAGCCTAAATCAGTTGTCTTACGATCCAAACAAGTCTCCACATTATTGCACCATCCTCCTCCCTAACCAAGGTTCAACATAAAACGAGATAAAATTTCTGAGTGAACACAAGGAAGCAATTAAAAATCATGAACTTTGGCAGTGTAAAGAGGACCAAGTACCTCCATGTGAACCACCCAGTTATTAGCCCCAGAACCAGACCCCTTATCAAAATGGTAAGCCGGCGCGCTTCCATCCAAGCAAACTGCAGAGAAAGAGCCAATAAAATCATAAAAACTACACCAAAATCAAAATTGGAGAAGTTAACTATGCCATAATTTATATATCTATATATATATATTACCAGCTCCTTTTGCGACGGCGCTTTCTAGATAAGTAATTCCAACGCTACCACCTTCTGCTTTCAACAGTATCAGAACACAAACGAGAAGATTTAGCCATTGGCCTAATTTTGCATCACCCATTCTGCCCATTTTGAAAAGTAATATTAACTCCATAAGAATTCATCCATAAAGTACAAAAATTGTTAATGCAACATGCAGTAAGTTATTAAACATTAATTTCACGTTAGATATACTAAGAAATAAAATAGCAGAGAAATCCTTATTTGGTTTAATTACCTTGAAATTTTTATTTAAATTAATTTATATTATATATCTATAATGAAAAACCACGAGACTCCATAACAATAATGGTTAGATTTTGGAATTTTATTCAACCAACCATTCTTGTTTTGCGGTCTCGTGTATGCAGACTGCAAATAATAAGAGAGAATTTGATTAATTAGTACAACAACTACGATACTACTTGCTACATATAGATCTTTATCTTATCCGTACTGTAATTTTTTATTATATTTTCTTCCGACAAGGCACTAACTGGCTCATTTAAGAATGTTGTTGGACCATCGTCAAAGTTTCCAAATCTAAGCTACATTTTTTTTTTTCCTTTCAAAAATAAAAATCAACGAAAAACAAAAACCAAGCTGCCTAGGTCTCCGACGGACTTGTATCCTAAAACTCGTCGGACCAGATCTGTGGAGCCGCGAAACGTCGCCACAGAGGCACCGACAACCGCCCAACCCATATCTCAGCCCCGCGCGTCAAGTGCACGCGCGACTGAAACCCGATGAGAAATGTTCAAGATGATGTAGTGTTGATTGAAGTACATACATATTTCATTAAAAAGAAATGATCAAGAGACCCATTAAATTCTGTAACTCGAAGTTAAAGCTGTAGTAAAAACTAATAACAGAAATGCAGGAGACGTATAGTTCTGCAAAAACTATGAGGAAATGGATTCTTACCTTGAAACCAAGCAATGACTCCTGAGAAATTTTGTCCACTGTATTACAGTCCGGTAGCCGCTTGCAATGCTGCGGATGAGCTATGGTTTGCTTTTTTTAAGGCTTTTTGTGCACAAACGCGTGCCGTCTGAGCAGATAGTGAAAGATGATAGTAAAGTATAGTGTCGGTGCGGTGGCCCCTAGCAGTCCAGCACCTTCCTGGAAGCGTCAGCAGTTGAATTAGATTAAAGGAGCAGTACTGGAAGGGAATTTTAGAGAGACTTGAGGCGGTAAAAGCGTTTGAACTAACCCACCAAGGAAAGTACTTGCTACTTGGCTTGAAGCCTTAGCAGTCATGGATGCTCTATCTGCACCTTTTGTGTAATTCAATCATCTCTCTCTCACAAATGGTGGTATTTTATATTGAAAATTATTGTGCAATTTAAATGACGCTAAAATTGCACAATTAAAATAGTTAGAAGAAGCTTAGTTCTTAAGAAAAAATATAAATAAAAATGTAAATTTTTTATTTTTTATTTAAAAATATTAATTTTGTTAATTTTTAAATAAAAAATTTAATTTTTAATTTTTTATATTTAAAAATATTAACTTTTTAACATTTTAATTAAAAATTCTATTTGTTACATTTACATTGTCATTTAATTAATTTTTAAATAAAAAATAAAAAATTAGTATTTTTAAATAAAAATTAACAAAATTAATATTTTTAAATAAAAATATTAAATTGATATTTTTATTTATGTCCTTTCTCCAATTTTTAATATTTTAATTTTTGTCTTACCATCTATATTAGAATAATAAAATATATTACTGACTTTTTTGACTTAATGATTTATCTTTAAATATTTATTTATTTATATTTAACTTATCAGTTTCAAGTGTTTCTGTTAATCTATGGGCTAAATCTATGCCCTTTCCTTTCTCCTTAAATTACCCTTATTAAAAAACAGATAAAGCATGATTATTTAGTTTATATATCAAATCAGTATTGTTATCAGATTAAAGAGCTCTATTAATATGGACAATATTGGGTAGTGGATACTTTACATCCAGAAATGATTGACGAGCATATTCTCAACACAATTATGCAACAACGTGCATTATTTTTGGGTTATTCATTGCACCATGTCTAAATTGGGTTCAAGTTTTGTGGAGATTGAAAGCTCAATCAGACAGTTGTCACGCAATTTTTTTTTTTTTACAATAACAAGTAATCATCTCTCATTCTTTATCTTATCTTACCATATGTCATGCGATTCAAATTCAAAATCTCTTATTTTCAACGAAAAAAAATTACCACTAAATTATTTAAATTTGTTGAAAACAGCTGTCACACACCTCTTACTTTAATCCATGGGCTTTGTGGAACGGAGTTAGGCATATTCAATAATGAGTGCCCGACCAAATGGACCGTGGGGTGGCCGGTATACCTTTGCGCTTTGACAATTGTATTGCGTATTAGTACTTTTCAGTAACTTTTTTTTGATAATTGATGCCTCACTTTTTATTTTTTAACTTTTGAAAAAGTAGAGTACTACTAATTTTTTAAAAAACTTTTTAAAAATTACTTTTTGATAATAAAAAATTATTATATATTTTAAATTATATCATATCATAAAATATAAATCTTTAAATAAAATGTAAAATTTTTAATTCTATGATTTTTTTTATTTGAAAGTTTTTATTTTACAATCTAATTTAATACAAATTATAAAATAATAAACTCTTTTGATAATTTATATCTTACTTTTTGTTTTTTAGCTTTTAAAAAAATAGAGTACTGCTAATTTTTTTATTAAGTCTTTTGTTTTGTAATTAGATTATATTATGTTATAAAATAAAAATAATAAAAAAATAATTAACGACTTGTTGATTCCATTAAAAAAATTAATTTTTTTAAATAAGATTTTGAATTTAAATTTTATAAAGAAAAAATTAAGTATAAATGTTTGAAGAACTTTTCTTTTATAAAAATTATTAGATACTGAAAGATTAATAAAAAAATAAAGATAATAAAATTAAAAAAGTTAAAAAAAATTTAATATTAAAAGTTTAATTATTTTATTTAATAATTAATATTATATAATTAAATATAATTTAAACTCTATAGAAATACTTTAAATTTTTGAAAAAGTAGCGTACTCTCAACCAATCAAAGGTTGCGTGCGCAACATTACTCTTGTTTTGTGTGTGTATATTTTTTTTTCGAAAGTATGGTCATGCGGCCAGATTGAACTATTGTCCGGAGAGGGGATGAACTTTTACCAAAGTGACAGAAATCATGTGATTGAATTAAACCGTTGTTTGAAAAGAAAATGAACCTTTACCAAAGTGACAGAGGCTACTTGGTCCTATGGCCTAGTTCACGTGTATATAAATATTTTAAATATTAGGTAAATTTTGAATTTTACACTTAATAAAATAGGGATAATTATTCGGTTGTTAGTGAAAGTCACACTTTTGTTCAATTAAACCCAAACACTTAGGGTTTGAAGATGGACTAATAAGCTCGAAAGCTTGATTCTTGTTTTACGTTTTTTTAACCTTTAGAAATTTGAGGAATGAGGATATTTTTTAAAATTATTGATAAAAGTTACATTTCTAATCAACTAAAACAAAATACTTAAGGTTTGGTGACAAATCATTAATTTTCAAAAACCTGTGTTTTATGCATATTTGAAGATATATATAATTTGAAAATTGATTAGGCTGGCAGAATGTTTGACGTAAATATGTGTTCTTATATACTAATTAGTCAACTAGTCAACTATTATAAGATGATCTCAACCATTAAAAAAAAAAAAAAGACTACAGTACTTACCAGAATATGATCTCTAGTCAAAAGTCCAAAAGGCATATTATATAGATTAGTAATTGGGAAACAAAAAAACATGTGCGATTCTCAAGGGTACACAGACATTGACCTGAATGCAAAATAAAATTTGAATTGAATCTACTGATTTTATTAAGAATAATAATAATGCTAACAATCTGGGTTCGGAAGAAAAGAATGACAGAGCCACCCAGCACACAAGTTGGGAGCAGTGGTGATCTCTGATTATTTTGATGACTTGATAAATCATAAATTTGATCCCTCTTTTTTTTTTCCTTATTTAATCTGACTATTCTTATAATAATCCTAAACCATATAAAGAATTATATACGTATATCAATGGAATAATAAGACTGTTATAATTGTGGGGTGTGTTCTGAATCATAAATTTGGTTGCGGCAAGTAGGATTGCAAGGGTAAGGGCAATCTATCTTTTGGAAAGGAATCCGGTCAAAAAACCAGTCGCCTACTGCCTTTGCAATTCTCTGCATGCACAAAAGTAGTGTCATGGAAAATAAACAAGAATGGGAAGTATTAGCTAGGAAGAAGATGCAGCTTTATATATTATACCGTCTTGTTCAACTCCGGGGAATCAGTCATGTACCAGAATTCCTGCATCTCAGTTTGGCAATGGGCATAGCAAGAGTCTATGAACATCCCTCTAGATGAAGACTTGCCGCTTCGAAGCAAGGAAATTAAGAACTGTAACCTGAAGGCTGGAATGAAATACAAAATGAACAAGACCTTACAAGTAAAAGCATAGGATTTCCAAGAAACAAATTGGAGGTTGCCTTAATTAATAGGCTTCTTATACTTACCTTGCATGGCCTTAAGTTGGGTAGGCAAGCAGTTCTTTATATTAGACTTACAGCTCTCCCAGGTGCCATTAGGATCAGCATCAGCTGGTGCCAGAATGTTCTTTATCTGAAAAAAATATAAAGGATATTGAAGGATTAGGAAATTGCAAAAAACAAAGGGGAAGGGTAAATCTATTTTAGTCCAAAAATGCTACTTATAATGGGTTATATTATATAGTTACTTATATGATAACATGGAGCAAAATAATTATTTTGCATACTTATTGAATTAATCATAAATGGAAATATACAAACCTGCCATGAATCATATGCTGCATTGATAATAAAAAGTGGAGTTTGTATTTGCGGTGCCATGTATTGTGGGAAAAAACACTGTAAATGACAGATATGTATTGGTTAGATGCGGAAAGCAAAAGGGGCAAAGTGAGTAATAGATAGACTTACTAAAGCTGGGCTCAATGTTGAAGTACAAGATGGAAGCAAATTCTTTGCTGATCCCTTCAAGAAAGATTAGAAAGCCAGAGTCAGGTGATTTTGGTCCCCATTAAGAAGTAACTGGTGATCATATACAGCTTACAAGTATAAAACCTTAAAAATGAAAGCATTCATCTGAGACAGAGTAAGAAAGAGTACATGCGTGGTGACTATTTGGCTGAAGTAAGATTGAATGTGATTTACTCCAGAGACATCCTTCCTGTCATAAAACAAAAATGTTGTAATATTGCAAAAGGCTGTTAGTCAACTGTGATAGTTGACGGTCCCATAATGAGCTTACGCATACAAGGTCTTGGTAGAAGGTCCTAAAAATGAGCTTACGCATTGATAAAATAACCAGCATCTGAAATACATTTTACTTTAGTACCCAATGGTAGGAGAGCTTGGAAGCTATCACAGTGCAAAATGGATGCTAATCCACCAGCTGAACATCCAGAAAGAACAGCCTATGGTAGGAAATTGAACGAGTTAACAATTAATATAGATAGAGACATGAAATGGGGTAAAAAAGGTTAACAGATTATCAAATGAATCCTACATTCTCAGCATTTCTCATTCCTTTTGCCAATAGTTCCTCCATGACAGCCAGCCAAACCCTTGCTCCTCTGAAGTGAAGATTAGTAGCCTGATCAAATTACTGTCAGATTAAAAAAAAAAAAAAGACAGGGACAGAAAACAAAAATTCATTTCATTCAAGTTTCCCCAAGTGTAAGATTTGCAATAACTTACTGGGTTGACTGCTGCCACATCCCCAGTGTATGATGACCCATCACAGTATCTGACTTTGACTCTATTCCAATTGTAAAAGTCTACAAAGACAAACCAAAATGAGGATACTTAAACATAATTACCAGTAGAAGAGGTAAATTAGTAAACTTCAAGGTCTTACCTGGATTGTATTGACGCCTGTTGTTCAAGATGCCAGAGAAAGGGATTAGCTTGGCCATTTTATCAGAGGAGCCTAAACGTGTATCCTTACGGTTAAGGCAAGATGTCACATTGTTGCACCATCCTCCTCCCTAAGAATGAAAAGGACAAGCACTGTTATGACATTTACATAAGATTGTATGCAAAAATCAACAGTAGTGAGCTATGATCATTAGGCTTCCTCAAAAGAAATTGACTTATTGCTGGTAGTTGATGGAAGAATTGTGAAAGAATTGCAAAAGAATTGCGGTTAGACTAACTATATCATCTGTATTGTTCTTCTCTATGAAGCAATAAAAGCATGCATGTTTCTTCGTTAGCTGTTTGATGATAAATGGATTATGATAACTTGACAAGTTACCTCAAGGTGAACCAACCAACTATTAATTCCAGAACCAAATCCCCTGTCCCAGTGGTAGGCAGGAGGGCTGCCATCCAAACAAACTACACAAACAAAACAAGATCTAAAAACATTAACAATTTTAATCAAGCAAAATCAAAATGATTAAGAAAATAAGTTTATATAATCTGTACCGGCGCCTGTAGCCACGGCATTCTCAACATAGGTAATTTCCACAAAAAGGCCATCTGTTTTCAGCAACAGCAGTCCAAAAACTAGAAGATTTAGCCCTTGGCTAAATCTTGCATTAACCATTCTGGCATACAAAAATTTCTAGTTTATATTAGAAAATGTAACAAATCTAGTAATACGAAAAATCTGGGTGGACAACTACCCATGTTGCAAATTAGGTTCAGAATATGAGAAGAAGATTTTAATAATTTCTGATCCTCCTCAATCATCCCAAAAATATTATCCTAAAAATTATCATGAAATTATTATTATACAATTCAAATTGTATCAAATTATACAATAATTTTTAAAATTAACATAAAAATATTTATAACAATTAAATAATTCAAGGACAAAAAAAAGTAAAGGGAAAGGGAAAGTGCACTATTCGAAGAAGTACTGGGAACATGACACTAGTAAATATTAGTAGTACTTGAAAATAGATTATCAAAAACTAAATAGTTCTCATCGAATTATGATTAAATATAAGAAAATATCAAAAGACACAAAAGCATTCAACCAGAAACTGATATTTCAGATTTTCAATGAAACTAGACCAACAAAATACTCCTTAACTTTTTCTTTAAAAAAAGGAAATCAAACAAGCCGGTCTGCGATTCTGCATCCTTCATCACAAAATCTAAACATAGAAAATTACCGATCTCTTAAAAGTTAAAACGTCAGAAATATACAGAAAATCAATTACAAGAATACTTTCTATGTATCCGCATCGACCTTTTTCATGCAACAATCAGATTACTTATTCTGCAATTCATAGCAACCGAAATTGAAACTGTGATACCCACTAGCCATTGCTCTTGAACCCAAACTTCTTGACGAAGAAAAACTGATAAAAGAAAGAAACAAGTCCTCGTACCTGAAAAAGGAAAGAGAAGCAAGAGAAATCCACAAGGAACTGCTTTCTTCACAATGTGACAGAAACCCAGTTCACAGCATCCAATTCTGGGACTAAGAACAAAAGGGTAAATCGAGATTCAACAAAAGTGGGCGTCCGGTAGAGTCTGAAACCAATTCGAGGAACAATGGCGAAGAGGTTCGGTGGCAACAAAGATGAAGAGCCTTTTTTATAGTTTCAGTTTGTTTTTGGACTTATTTTATTCGAGGCCGTAAGCAGAGAACCCAAGAGCCGACACTGATATGGTGACTAAATTAAAAATAATAATAATAAAAAAAAATAAAAAATAAACTATGGGTGAGTCAGTGAGTGTGACTGTGCTGTGGGTCGACCCGATCCGAATGTGCTGGGTCGTCGCCGTCGTCGTCGTCGTCGCCGTCGCTAAAATTCAGGCGGGAATTTTTTTCGGCTTACCCGCTCCACAATCAATTGAAGGGGAAACGGTTTTTTTTATAAGGAACGAGAGAATGGGAATAATTTTATACTGTTGAGTGTGAGCGTTCCTATTTCGCTCCCTTGTGAGCTCATCGTTATGTGCCAATCATGTACGTGTCATCAAACGTAAATAGAAATTTACATGATGAAATTGCTCACCACTTCGTGCCCCCCCGTGGTTACGCTTCTCATCGAGAAGCAAAGGGGGCACCGACATGTGCAGTTCGTGCCTCAAATTTGATACTTCTTTATTCTTAATTATATTAATGTAATTTTTATTATAAAAAAAATTAGATGATGAAATTTTGTAGTCTGATGGTGCGACATTGTAAAATATTAATTTTGAAATAAAGAGTAATTTTTTAATATTAAAGATTATTTATTTTTATTTTAAAATTTTAAAATAAGTAAAAAATAATAATCCAAAAGTCATATTGAAAGCACTTGTTTCTTTGTTTAAGAAATTTAAATTTAAATTTTTATTTTAAAAATTTTAATTTTTTTACTCAAATTAATAAATT